GCGAATCCCCACCCAGACCGAATACCGAACCAAACAAAAAGTGTGTCGTGCCAGTACCAGCCCTGTAACCACATCAATCCAATGTCGAATACCATACCGAGCAATAAGTGTGTCGTTCCAGCTTTGGACCAGTGACCAACCAGAATAATGAGATTAGGCTGCAATACGTTGTTCCAGTACTGTATAAATGCTCAACCAGTGATCGTACCAAGCAAAAGTACCGAACCATGGACCAGTTGTCGTGCCAACCAGCGTGACTACCATACCACCATGAATCTCGTCAACGCCGGACCAGTAACTACACCAATCTGACCGGTTGCTGTGAACCGTAGACCGGTCTGGTTGGTCTCACCGTCAATATCATCAACTACCATGAGAATCCAGCAAAATACGGCCCGACTCACTCAATAACATCGGGGTCATACCGAGGCAAAACCAAGCGTGGGTTCATAGCTATCGGAACTCGCACGGATCAACGGACTCCGGATAAACAAATAATTCCCAACAAAAATTCGTCAGGAGTAAATTTCGTTAAAATCAATCAAATAATAATTAATCATTTGTTTTTTTCTTTTTTATTATTTTTAAATTTTTTATGCACTATTAATTCTGATATTGAAATTAATGAAAATAAAGGACAAGTTTACCAAGGATAAATTTCGATAAAATTTAATTAAATAGCAAATATTTCGTTATTTTCTTCCTTTTTATTATTTTTAATTATTTTTCTCAATTTTGATTTGGTTATTAAATCAGCGAAAATTGCTGGTCCATTTCCCTCGTCAATTGTCCAGTGTGAAAGAAGCGCACCAAGGCCTAGCACCATATCCCGGCTCCGTGGTCGGCCGCATCGGGAACAGCCTTGGAACGAATGAAAACGGTAGGAGTTAGGGGCGGCGAGCGTGGTTGTTCATCATGTTAATTTCAAGGGTCAGTTTTCATGATCCATCGAGGGAATTTTAGGGCCCCTTTTCCGAACCCTAATTTTCCTCGACGGTCCAGACAAGAGTACCCGACAAATCCTAACCGGACGTTTGGTTGAGAGACGAATTCCTCGTATGTCGGGTGGCCGACCGTCTGCGACCGCCCGACGGTAAGCCCGAACCTCTTCTTGACGTCCCCGTCGAGATACCGTCGCGCCGGTCACAGGAAATGCACAAGTTTCAAAGTGACCGCCCGTATTCGTCGCCTGTGTCGGCGCTTAAGTGTTTTGTGTTTGGTTTTTCCAGGAATCCTGGAGCTCAGAAAATGTTTTTTGCACCTCCTATGTCGCAGTCGTTTTGGTATAGGAAGAAAAGTGTTTTCGTGCCTCTTGCTTCATTGAAATGTTTTCGGCCCAGATGAGTCACCCTGTCTGATGCGGACCCTTCGTTTCGGTCTGCGAAGTACAAAAAACCACTTTTTTTTCTTCCCTAGTGTCAAGCCTTTTGCTTTCCTGGTCTCTACCCTCTTTCTCTTCTTCGAACTCCCACCTACTTCGAACCGTCTCGATGGTCCCTCATCTGCCACCTTGGCTTTCTCCTTCCCTTTTGGGTTTGACAGAGTTGGCGCAGGGGTAGGGGTTTCCCTCGGCTTGAACAACTCCAATCTAGCCCTGCCACAGGATCTTTCCACTTAGACATATCTAATTCAACTATTATATACGCGCCCCAACCAAGCGTGCCGACTACGCGGTAAGGTCCCATCCATCTGTTAGCCAACTTCCCTGACCATGTCCTCTCTAATACTGCATCGTAGAGAAGTACCTTATCACCTACACTTATTTTTTCCTTTCTGATCCTGACATCATTATCCTATCTTTCCTTGCCTTTCTCCCTTTCCACCGCCAATCGATTGGTCACGGTCGTGAGATTGTCCTCTAACCCGTAGGATATCTGTCTCGTCCGGGCCGCCAGAAGCCCCTCTCGCGACATATTGTCCGCCCAGGTAATTGTAGTCCAACTATCAACATGAAACTCTATGGGTAGAGGGCAGTGCCTTCCAAACCATAGAGTATAAGGCGGGTATCCCGTGCTAGCCCGGACTGTGACATTGTCTGCCCATATCGCGTATCGAAAATATTTTGGCCAGTCGTTATCTTTACCTCTACACCACTTGGACAATGAAGTTATCAAGGACTAGTGGCCTCGCTCTACAGGTGAGTTAGATTGAGGGTGGTAGGCAGTAGCTATGGAGACTCTAGCCCCTGCTTTCTTAAACACGCTTTGGACCTCATCGGCTAGGAATTCCACTCCTCTATCCATTACGATCCTACTAACACACCCATACCTAGATAAATACTCCAGAACAAAGTTCTTTACTTCTCTGGCTGCCTTTCTTCTGATAGGTTTTCCGTCGATAAATCCAGTGAAGTCATCTCTGATGTTCACGACATAATTCATGTTTCCTACGCCTTTCGGCATCTTCACTAAATCAATATGCACTTTTTCGCCCTGTCTAGTAGGATAGGAAGGATGAAGTGGCTCCTTGTACCTTACAAGGGATCTTTTCTGACATTCCTCACAGATCGCACAATATTTTTCTACATCTTTGTACCGACCTTCCCACCAGTATAGTCTGCGCACCTTCCCATATGTCCCTTTTACTCCTCTATACCCACAGACTACTCCGTCGTGAAGCTCCGCTATCACCACTCGCCTCTCTTCGGGATCACAGACTACTCGCAGAGGCATCCCAGATCCAGTAGGTCGACGGAATAAATGCCCAGATCTTAGGCAGTACTGAGTTGCCTGTCTCCGAATCTCCGAATCTGAACTCTCCTCTCGCAATAGATGCAATCCGATCGTCCGGTACTTACCTTCATAAAGGTTGACTAGGAATCGATCAGTCCGTCTAGGTTCTGTCATGATCAGCATCACTGCCGCTATCGGCCGTTTCGCTTCAATCGGGATTCGCGAGAGCCCGTCCGCTACAACATTCTTCGTTCCTAAGACCCTCTCAACGGTATAGTCGTAAAGTCGAATCCTGATCAACCACTTCACAATCGTGGGATCGGTCAGAGTGAAGTCCTTTTGTAAAACCAACACTATGGCTGTAGGATTTACCCTTAGAATAAATCGCCTCCCATATATGTAATGTTTAAAGACGTCTAAGCACTGTAGGACAGATAGCACCTCCTTTTTGAACTGGCTAGAGTTGCGTTCAACGGTATTAAGCGTACGACTCTCAAATCTCAGTGGCCTCTTCTTATCGTCAGCGTCCTTTTGAGAAAGCAGTCCTCCGACCGAGCATGGTCCAGCATTCGTAGATACTATGAATGGCCTGTTGGCCTCGTCCTCGAAGAACGGTACGCCTAAAATTCGTCCTCCTTCTTTGAATTCCTCTTTGAGGGTTAATACCGCGAGCTCCTGAGGAGAATCCCAGTAAAATCGCTCGGTTTTCCTAAGGAGAATTCGTAGGGGCTCCGCCTTCTCCGCGTACCCACGTATGAAGATCCGCCAGTAACCTATAACTTCGAGGAATTGGTGGACTTCGGTAACGCTATGCAACGGAGTCGGCCAGTTCAAGAGTTTGTTTAGTTTCGCTAGGCCTGCTCGGCGTCCCCTCGAATCACATATGAACCCTAAAATTTTAATCGACGAGACAGCCCACTGGTTGTTCGTCCCACTGACCGTTGGATTAGCATCATCTAGTTGTTCTAGGATCGTGTAAATGTCCGTCAAGTGCTGCTCTACAAATCTCCTGACACAAGGAGCAACCTCCATCTCATCTTTCAGTACGGGCCCTTTTATCGGGAAGTCTTCAAAAAAGACTTCAACTTTATCAGGAATGTAGTCTTTCAGAACAGCTACCATAGCTCTCTGGAAGACCGCAACCCTATTGGTCCAACCCATCGGCACAACCATCATTTGCACTAATTCGAGAGGCGTATGCATGGCAGTAAGGTGTCTATCTCTAGGATCCAGAGGTATCTCATTATAACCCGAAAATAGATCGCAGACGAAGTAGATCGATTTGCCTTCTGCTCCCTCTGCTAATAGATCAGCATGTGGTATGGACCCTACCTCCCGGATGGTAACCAAGCTAACCTTATGAAGATCTTGAATCCACCGGATTTTCCCATGAGGTTTCCGTAAGAAGAACCACTTGTTTGCGTACGCGCTATCAGATGGTTCAACCACATGCGACGCCATCTTCTCTTTTAGAAAGGCAATTACTTCTTCCTTCTCCTTTCAAGCAAACTTCCACCCTGCGTCATTCCATGGAGTGTGCGAAATCGTATAGATCCTGGCGGGTTTGGCGTACCTAAGATCGATCCTTCCTCTTTCTGCGTCGCTAAAGGCTATGGCCTTGTCACAAGTCTTAAGAACCTCTAGTACACGCTCGTTTTCTTGTTCTGTCAAGTTTCCATCCCCTATGTCCATCTCCGCTATACTCTCTTCTGTTATTCGTTGCGTCTCCCTCTTCTTCCTTTCCTTAATCTCTCTGACAATCTTTTCTTTAGATATTCTGTCTAGTGTTGATCGCTCTCGAGCTATCGCCGTCGGCATAACCTTTTGATCTACTGTCTTGTGCCTCCTGGGTCGCCCCCTGTAGGAGCCTACGCCCTTAAAAACGGCACAGAGATCATACCTCCGAACTCCTCATCTTCAGCCTTCGGATATGAGTTTCCACCCACGAGGACACGATCACCTAAGTCCTCGACTTCCAATATGCGTCCTTCTTCCTCCGTGAGAGATGTCCCATACTTCTTCTCGCGGAATCGCAACGACCGACTCGCGAGGGTGGCTGGCTTGCGTGTGCCACCAGTCGCCAAGGCCGCTCTGTTCCTCGGATCTCGAGGCTCGACTATCTCTATCATAATCCGACCACCATCTGGACGCTTAACAGAAAGTATCTGGCTTACGTCCGGTCGCTCTATCGTAACCACATGAACCCAACTACGTGTGCCCTAGTAGTAGCTCCGAACTGCAGTCTCTGACCGCGAAGATGGGCATCAGTCCGCGCAACCCTTTGACCTCGATGGCCACCTTGTAACAGACCCCGGAGATCTTCTGCTTTCGTCTTCGGCTGTTTCCATCTCAAACAGTCAGAATATGTCCAGGTTCAATCCTAATCGCACGGCGAGCTCTTCGTCTGTGATGACAGCTCCACTGTCATTATCAATCACTCCTTGGAGAACTATCTCATCGTTGAGAATGATCTCAACTGTCCCACTCCCTAGAATGTAAAACTTATCTGGTGGTACCCCCTTCATTCCGTCCAAATAGACTGTAGCCGCGCGTTTGGCCTTTGCGCTTACTCCCGATACTGTTACTATGGGTACCTCTAGCTTAGAAGTCATCTGGACTTCATCGACCAGAGGAATATGCGTCTTACGCGTGATCATTTGAAGCTCATCTCGCGTGGGTCTTAAAGCAGCCAAGTACTCTAGTATCGAGTATTGCATAGGTTGCCTAAGTGCGCGCCTAAGAGGCTCCACTGTATCAATATCGTCTAAGGAGCTCTTCATGGTAAATTTATGAGCCCCGCGCTTGCGTGGCGAAAGTATAACTTCCTCTCCTTCAATTCTCTGCCAGTCTTTTTCTGCCATCACATAGTCCGTGTCGGCCTTCTTCGACGATGAAGCCCTTGCAGACTTCGTCGTCGCGACTCGGATAGGCGTGGTTGGCATCTCATCCTCACAGGGCAGCGTCATCCTGACACTCTGACTCTTCGCCGCCTCCTTCTCTTTGCTCGGCCGCACCCGCCTGACCTCAACGTTCTCCTTCATCGAAGGGAACATCGATACGTTGCATAAATCGTCTGCCCACTTAACGTACTTGCGTTCATCAAGCATGACAAGCCCCTCGTCGATGGCTCTCCTGAGGTCCGGATAGTCCCTCTTGACATGATCTTCCCCCCCCCAATAGATGCAGGAATTCCTAGGTGTGGGCGATCAGTCCTCTACACCTCTAGGGGCTGGTCCTCTCACAGATCTGACTTCTTGGTTGGAAGGTCCAGAAGATTTGGGATAGATCGGAGACTTCAGGTATCCAGGCGATGCGGGGTACCCTCCTCCACGTGCATCGTCTCGACGTCCTCCTACTCGCTCTGCCCTCTCATAGCCGCCACGATATCCATCCTTGCGGTCCCTGTCCGATTCCCATCGGCCACGGGAGTCATCTCTGTCTCTCCGGTTGATATTGCCCGGGCTCCGGTACCCCTCCACGTTCCCATCATATCTGGGACTGCGCGGGTACTATTATTGCCTTCCCCCTCGGCTAAAGGTGTCCGCCCCGTGGTACCTGTCCCCTCGGCGATCCCTATCAATCTCCTCATTCCTACGTCGTCAGCCATCATCATCTCTCCCGCGCGCGATAGTCCGCGAGTGTCTGCGGGTTCCTTTCTTCCATACTCCGCCAAGGGTCAGTATTCCTACGATCCCATCGCAGCGAATATGGGGATCCCGACTTGTCTCTGTAAGCCGTGGCTCCCGTCTTTGTCTCAATGTTGGTCATTTGCCTGGCCAGTCCCTTCATCATTTCTCTCATCGCCCTCATCTCCTCTATCACTACCTCTCTATCCCTGAGTCGCTGTGGTCGGACTCCGTCCAACAAATACGGCCGTTCTGCCCAAGGCTGATCGCTAAAGTCAAGACACCTCTCCGCGTCGTACTCACGATGGAGAGAGAAGTTCCGACGTTGCATCCCCCTCTAGACTAGGTCCTTGTAATCATTTGCCTCAGCCTTCATTGCCAACTTGAGAACCGTCGCAAAATTTATCTTGTCGTGAGGCATTTCTCTCAGTACCCCCTTCTGGTTCCCTCTTAGTAATCGACCGATGAAGATCGTGCACCGCTCGACCTCCGATAACTTCCCTTTCGCAATCAAGGCATCGGATATCTTCTGGAAGCGTCTCCCAAATGCTTGGACGTTCCCGTCCTCACCTTGAGTCATCATTTCGAGATCTCAGATAGAGTACTTGACATCTTCCAGCTTAAAGAGTTCATAAAGGCCGACTTTGTAGGTAGTCCACCCCCTATTTTTTTGTCGTGCTTCTTTGATTACTTGGCTCAAGCTTGGATCCGAGTTGAACAATAAATTGTCTATAATCTCGTTCTCCGATCATTGGCTGCGATATGCATGCAGTTCCCACTTCTCAAGATTCTCGGTGATACGGTATCCCTTGAAAATGGGCGGCCTGGTGTCTAACTCCGAAGGTTGGTGCGAGATGATGTATCTGTCCCTCCTCTCGTAAGGAAGCATATACGACTCCCCCGTCTGTGGGTCGTAGATCCGTATAGGTGGCGTGCCCCTCTCCGGAGGTCTATCTCTATCTCTCCAGGCCTGTTCCCGCACATACTGGTCTTTCCAGTCATCTCCTCCTCTATCACCTCTAATGTCTCCCTGCTCGTACGTAGGAGAGCGTCGAGCAGGCATCTCCCGCCGGATACTAGGAGGTTCTGTTCTACTTGCCATCCGTACCGTTGACGCTGTCCTATCTGGCTCAACGACGGTTGGGCAGCCCATCACCTCGGGTTCCCCATCGTTGGGTTGATCTACGCATCTCAGCGGTGCATTCTGCCGGATTCGCTCCTTGAGGTCTTGCAGAGCACAGTCCGGTGACGCTCGGTATACACTACTTTGCTGTTCTATATCCGGATGTGGACCCATTGTGTCAGACTCCATATACTCTGCTCCCTCTCAGAGCTCGCATTTATATAGGGAGTTTATCGTCCCTAACACTCGAACGCGCAGCCCGGACCTAATGTCAAAGTCGGCAGTCCGGACCTAATGTCAAAGCCGGTTCTGGCAATCTTTAAGAACCCAAACCTAGTTCTCAACCGACCTCAAAATAGTCGTTAGTCTTCCGCTCTCATCTCGGAACTCGTGCTCGCCCTCAATACCTAGTACTTCCATGTCAAGGAAAAGTCGCCCCTCCTGTCCCTCTATGCAGGCAGCACTTCTCCTGACCTCTAACACTCCTGTCTCGGGGCACCTCACTCCCCTACAAATCGCGCTCCCTATAGTGCATAACTCCTCGTGAGTGCAAGCACGCAAGCGCTCTCGTAGATCGATCGATATCCTCCTCTCTAAGTCGCTCAACCCTCACCGTGCGACACTGGCTCCCGGGTACTCACCTCCTCTTGCCATCAAACTCCTGATGTCGTAAGGCAAGCTCTACTATGGTTCCGTAGTTTCCCTCTTGTGTAATTTGATACGGAGTCGGAGGTTTAGGAAGCCCCTCAAAGATCGTTATCCGAGTGTCCCAGATAACGTTCTTCCCTAGAGTTAGTAACTTATCTCTTTCGCCTTCTACAACCTCTTCCGCGCGCTCTCAACATTGACCGTATACAAGATCAACTTCTCTCTCCCTAGGCAGAGAAATCCTCACATCATACACGTCTATGTAGATAAACCTGACGGTCATCACATGAAGACATATCTCCTCCCATCCGCTATCCACAAGCTCGTACCTCTCTACCTAGTGCGGGATCACCTCTCTCTTCCCTAGTGACCTCAACAGGCCACAGATAGTCTTTAGTTTCTCCTCGGCCGGTCTGTTTCCAGCAAGAAACCTCTCTCGCCTCAACTCCAACTTGCGATCAGAGATAATTCTCTCTTCGCTCATTCCTGCATCCTATTCTTTTCCTGTCGACCTCTTGGGACCATTTCTCGCTCCAACCGTCCTAGCAAAATTCACTACCGCCTCCCAACCATTCCGTTCTAATCCTCTGTCAAGAATCGGCGGCCCAGGCAAACCGTCGAAAATCGAGATGTCGTCGTAGACCTCGACAGTCTTCCCTAAATCTTCCAATCTCTTCTTCTCTTCTCTCAACTTCTAGGCGGCTATCCTCCAGCACCTCGTGTAGGCACATAACTTTGCACGCTCCTTAGGTGCGTATATACCGATGTGGTGTACTCCTAGGTCGGGAAAGTGTACGGTTATTAAGTAAAATTGATTCATGTCCCAACCGTTGTTTGCTACCTGGTACCTGACTACTCGTTCAAGTTGTGTATCACTACATCGATTTCCTTACTAATAGGCCCTCGCTCGTCAAGCGTCCTACGACTCCAACATACCTGTCGAAAGAAAATCGCGTGTCTGCCCATCCATAATATCTTTGACTACTTAGCCCCACATCCACTTAGTACTTGCGTGCCTCACCCTAGGCTCTGATCGCGACCCCTATCCTCGGGAAAGCAGCGTCCGCGATATCGTCCTCCTCTCCCGACTCGGCGTCCTCCCTGTCGGAGTCGACCCAATCAGGCTCCCAAGCCTCCTCCTCGTCGTCGTCGCCGTGGTCCTCCTCTAATCGATATCCCGGCGCCCGGATCCCCTCATAATACCACGTAAGCTGGTACACGACTATGAGCGGGTCAGTGGCTCCAGGTCCCCACGACTCCAAGTACTCCGTGAAGAGCCGACCTATACACATGGTATAGTCGGGTCCTGCTCGAAGCTCACGATCCAACAGGTCCCACACGTATGCACGCGGAGGCCGTCTCCGGTCGTAACCCTCCTCCCACGAGGCTCCCTGGTACACTGGATCAACTCTATAAGCTATACCCTCTCATCTCCCCACCACAACCCGACAGTCACCACGGAGTAGTAGATAAAATGGGAGTCTAAATCTCCCCTCGAGAAATGCTCGAGCTCCCTAGTGGTGAGATAGGCCTCAACCAATCGTCTTACCCCGCCGAACGCCGCGTCTACCACGAATGTAGGGACCGTTGCCCTCAGTCTACAACCTGAATGCGGGAGGAACCCCTCTTGGAAAACTCGGAGGTCCCCCGTAATCACACGGGGAGGAAACCCGTGGAGCCACGCTATCGAGTCCTGCTCCTCCTCGAGCCTGAAAGCCTCTACCTCCTCCTGCACGTACCGCTGCGCCCAGCCAATAATCCCTCACGTCCCCCACGTCACGCGGGTCAAAGCGGCCTTCTTTGCCACTTTCGGGCTCAGGTAGAGGTAGGCCTTGACCTCCCCGTAGGCAATGTCCCCCGGACGCCTACCGTACGGGCCCTGGCTACTCTTAAGCTCACGGTACATCCACAGTCAGGCGCTGGGCCACAAAGGGACAGACCGCCACTTGTGTCGACCGTCGTGTCCGTCTGTGGGCCGACAAGGCAGGGCAAACTCCACCAGATCTCCTTCTATAAGTTCTGGAGGCTCATCGACCCAGTACCTGTCAACCGAGAATTCCTCAACCGTCGAGGGCGGCCACATCCAAGTGATGTAAGAAAAGCTAGAAAAATAAAGGTGGAAAGGCTCGCATTCTAAAAAAAAATTCGGCAGCGTTTCACCTTCCCCCGTTGGGATGGGGTCCGAAAGGTCGTCCCTATATTAAGTGCTGCCTACCTAAGTCCTAGACAGGCCCTAGAGTGGCCCAGGTATCAAGGGCGCGAAATTCCGAACTCGGATCGGACACGCAAGCCTTCTACTCGAGTTCCCTCGAATACAAGGAGCGTGCTCAATTCGAGGGATTCCAGCAAGGTACACCAGCGACACACCCCCGACCAATGGACCTAGTCCACCAGACAGGAATCAAAAACAAAAAGTAAACATACTCTCTTTTCAAATTTTTAAGCCATATCTTTTAATTTTGAAGAATTTCAATAGTTTAATTAATAAAAATTCAAGAAAAACCAAAAGGTTACACTTCCTGCCCACAGTTCGCAGCCGAAGTATACACAGATGCAATTGGGGCGTGACGTAACGTCCAACTGCTTTTCCCACTATCGTTTGGTTTTTCTTGACTTTGTATCAATTAATTCGTCCAAAAATAGTATTAATTGAGTAAAATTCCCGTTCTTCGTATCCAATCTTAGGGGAGGTTTTACAATCCTCACCCAATCTAAAACAAGCCTAGTACCCTTTTCTATCTCCCTTTAGGAATTTTTCTCGTGATTTTACTTTATAATTAGAAAAAAATAGAAAAATTTTGAAATCAATTCTTTCCCTTTTCTTATATTCGTCGAGGGTCACGTTTCGCTACGGTTAGCAGAGTTTTCAAGCTTTATAGAGTCCTAGAACAATTTTGGGGATTTCCGAAAAATTTTGGCGGCGTTCCGCCTCCCCCCATTGGGATGGGGTGCGGGGCAAGTCCCTCAAATAATGTTGCCGAAACGACGAAAACCCAATAAAATATCACAAAGGAGGAAGTTCGATTTTTACTTGATTTTTAGACATTTTTAATATTTTTTTTTAATTAATTATCAAAATTTTAAATCAAAAGAACAATTTTCCTCCCCCCCCTTGAGATGGGGTTCGAAGGTTATCCGTTAATCAACCGTCAAAAAGGAGGCAAAGATAAACGATCGAAAGTTTAAAGAACTCCAATTTTATTAATTTTTAGATATTAATTTTATCTTTTATTTATTTAATTAGCACAAAAATTCAAATTTACACTTTTTTATTTTCGGAGCATATATACCTTGCCCACAAACCCCTAGACCCTAACTGCAATCTGCAAGGTTTTGGTTAGAACTTTAGTTGATCCTATATTTATATAGGGGTACTAGGGTTTCGCCCTAATTAGGGTTTTCCCTAACTACGGTTTTGTGTTTTGCGCGCAGCCGCGCGCACACCGGAAAACCCCAAACCACTGTGGAAAACTTTTGTGGAATTCTTTCAAGTTCAAAAAGAAAACTTATCGGATCACTTTTTTTTTCTTTTTGCTTCTTTAAATTTTAACAAAATTACAAAGAAATCGAATTCCCGTTCTAATTTCGTTAAAATTTCTTGTTTGTTGGTCTCCGTCGTTTTTCCAAACGGGCTCCGTTTTCCCCGACTAATATCTGAAAACGTCAGGCAAAATAAACGGAACAACTTTGTTCCGGGGGATCATTTCCAGATTTCGCTCGGACTTTCCGTAAATTTTCGGAATCGTAATTAGAAAAAATAAAGAAAATTGATTATCTAAAAATCCAGTCCTTCGAATTTTTAAAAAGAGGTCTCAAAATGTTCGCCTAGATGAGAGGACGAACTTTGAGCCCGGGGCGGCTCGCCCAAAAACGCGCGGATCAGGAGATATCGAAGAAAAAAAACAAATTTCAAAATTAAACAAAAAAAAAAAAAAAAATCAACTAATCAACTTGTTTAAACCACTAATACCTTTCCCCCGTGGGAAAATAGGGAAACTGGCAGTTTTTCCAAACTCGTCAATATTCAGAGGTCGGGCCCGACGACGATAGCCATTGATAAATCTGATCGGAGACCGTCATTTCGTTTCGGCCGCTGAAAAGGTCGGACGCATACCCAAGGCCCGCTATTTTCCCACGCGGCGAAGGTACTAGTGGTTTAAAGCTAATTAGTATCTGGCTGATTAGCCAACGCACCCCTGTTGATTGGGGAAGGCCGACGCCTTCGAGGTGCAGTCCCCTCCCTGACAACGGCGCCAAAGTTTGTAAGGAAACTCGAGGAGGGGTCCCCTACCGTTCGCTTAAGCCAAGGGCAACGACGTCTGTCACTTGCCGCGCCCGCTTCCGAGGTCCTCAGCGATCAGCAGGGTACTGAGGTTTGCACTGCCTGTCAAGATCTCCTTTTTCAGTCCCGAGATATATATATATATATATATCGTCACAAACAGAAGTGCCCGGTAAACCGTAGGCAGAGAGAGAGAAGAGGACAACAAACGAGGGGCTGTGACAAACTGTTTCGTCGGAGTTTATATATATATATATATATATAATAAAGTTAAAACTTGGATTAAAATTAATTCTGCATAATTTATTGGTCGTTTTGATTGTCGCTTCGAATCGTCGTTGTGAATCTCTTCTTAGATTCTCAGGAATGATACAGTCATAAGGTGTAGCGCTTTCCCTTCCCACGAGCATTCAAAGCAAGACTCTTAAATGACCGAAAGATGCGACTTCGACGACTCTGCTTTCACTTGGAGTCGTCCGTGAGCATAGCTGTAACGCGTCCAGTGGTAATTACAGAGCCCGGAGTACAAGGAAACAAGTGGAAATAGCTTTACGCTTTTCACTGCAAAACTTGACAATTTGGAATATTGAGCTCAGTAATGGTGATGAACATCATAACAGTTCAAGATAATTCGAATTTGGCAGCGTTAGTACTCGGTTCTCACGTCTAGCAATGCTCCCTCGATTAGCTCCCATCAATCCTCTTTTTTTTTTTCTTTTTTTTTCTTTTTTTTGAATTCGCTATACCTTCCTGTCACTCATACCACTCCTCTCGGTTCAGACGTCGAGCCTTACCCGTCCCCTATTACAGCCCGCACGTCTAAGTTGTTAGAGAGTCAGTAAACCCACTGCCCGACTCTACCTTCCGTAGCACGCTCAAGCCGATTTTAAGTCCGTCTCTGATCGGATCAACCAATAGATCCTTCGTCACTCCCAATGATCAGGAACACGATGCTCAAGTCTCTCGTTGAATAGATGGGCAGGTCGAGGCAAAGGGGAATGCTCATGGATCAACTTGAGGTCTCTGGCAACAAGGCTCTCGAGAGAACCTACGTTTCTGCTTTGACCGTTCTCGTAGGTCGACTTAGGCTTTGGAGCAGGATCTTCCAATGAATTCACTTTCTGCAACTGACACACGAAGGCAGGGTGACAAAACCATCGTCTGTGTATCGTTTTAACGGAGAACACGCCGAATTAAACGCCCGAACACCCGTTTAACGGGTCTGAGGACCCCCATTCAATCGCGTTAAACGCAAAAACGGTGGTGTCGCGTCGAATTCCGAAAAACAAAATTTTTCGGAATTCGCGCGTTGGCCCTCGGACATGTGTGCCAACGCACACGTGCCTGAACACTCGAACCGAGAAAAGGAAAAAAAACATTCACCCCCCGTTAACACCCCCCCCCACACCCCTTAAGGCCCCAAAAACCGCGCTTTGATCCCAAACACACCCCCGTCCCCCCAACCTACACATTGCCAACACCACCCCGAACCCCCACTACCCCTCACACCCACCCCTAAACAACC